ACTGTACCTTACAGCACCGTAACTCGAGCATCATACCATACAGGTACCTGCGCTAGCCCTGCAATCTCCGGCTTCCCCGGTTTCCGAATAAAATAAAGTGAAATAAAACTCGCCCTCGTGGGGTTTTCCCGACGAGGTATAAGATCGGCGCCGCTCGGGTTGGTTGGATCCCATTAACTGTTATTCGCAATTTGGTGAACCGAGTGTGCTAAGCCTATCGTGGGCTTAACGGGGATGGATGGATGATACGGGTACCGGTCATAACCGTGTTCTCGTATCACACTTCGGGGTGGGCGAACCGGGTGCTACCGTTGGCCGTCGCTAAATAGCTGACCGTAATTTTTGAACCATCACGCAAAACTGGGGTCTCACCACCCGGAAGACATTTTTTGCATAGGTACGATACGGTACAAGTAGGAAATCTGTCCAGCCGGGTATGATACTTGTATACCAGTACAAGTAAGTCCTGACGTAGCAGGACTGCGGCGGTCTTCAAGCGATTGGGTCCGCCCGGTACCGGTAGAATACGGTACGAGTGCGGTACCCTCAACGGAGCCTTCATAAATTCTTGTTCAGTCAGTCAGCCACTGCAAGTGTTATTATTGCCACGACGGTAGGATGCGGAGTCAAAGTAAGATACTCGAGCACATACCGGTAGAGTAAAACATGGCCTGCACAACATTTTCGCACTTCCCGGAAGGGACGAAGATCATAGCACCAACATACAGTACTCGAGTGTCCTCGGTGCAGTCACAAGAATAACTAAACACCGAAGGCGGAAGTATGTTTTAGAGCCCAATTCAGAGTTCCCATCCGGACACGGCAACCACCCACCGTGCCGACCCACAATCTCAAGCGCGAGCAAAACCGCACCGACACCAGAACCATAAAACACCGTTAGTCGTACGGTGCGACTGCACTCGAGTACTAGTACAAGGCAGAAGGAGAAGAAGAAGCCCCACCCCCATGCAGGAAACCCCAACAAGGCGTTCTCGTACGATCAATCAACCAGATGCCCCTGGCTTCCACGGCATCTCCACTGGATCACATCAGGCCTAACCGGCGGGGGCCACGGAATTCAGAGCGGTGCATGTGGCGCCCTCTTGGGGGCCGTCGGAAACGGTGACATTCCTTGCCGCGAACGCTAAGCTTGTTTTGGAAGGTGGCTAGCTCAGAGAATATTTAAGCTCGAGCAGAGTGCTGAGTCACTGCAGCAAACTGACATGAATTGATGAAGAGCGCTGTTCCTGACCGAGTACGGCTAATCGCTGCCCAATACGGCCTTAGCGTACCTAGCAAAGAAAGTTTATCGCTACTGTACTCACGCGTCTTTGCCAAGAATGCCTCCGTGAGCCGGACTCTCAGCGGACTTGAGGTAGAGCATGTAGAGAAAGACAAGTCAAACCCGGAGTAGTAACAATGGGTATTACCTGACAGTGGAGTTATATTATTCCATGACCGTATGGGTTTAATGTTCGGACAGGCTAGTTTCTGGCACGAAGGAAGAGGAGAACCACAAATTGGAAGATAATCAGCATATATAGATAGTTCTTGCATACTTATGCATTGAAGTTATTTCTTCCACTATTCTCTTTCAGAGTATGTAGATTTGAGTGAAACTTCCTACAATACTTATCAATAACCTCCTGTGGTATAGCAACCCGGGCCATTCCTCCTGAATAATCACCTTGAATCTTTCAATATCCTTTCACCCCTCACCAGTACACCTTACATGTTTGGCCAATCAGTCCTTCAATACCTGCCAGATAGGTTCAATCTTGTTCAAATCTGAGGAATTGGCCAGCCAAACAGGAAGTCCATAAACTGGAGAGTCTTTATGAGGTAGTATGCAGCAGATACCGTGCTTTTCTGCTTCATCGGTGTCAAGCCTTGCAGCTTGTATGTAGTTTCCAGTATTGTCCTGGATCAGCTAAATCTTTTACTTTCTCTCTTGACTGAGCCATTCTAGAAATGGATAAACCAGAGGCTGTAAAATGTCTTTTCTGTATATAAACCAATCGAAGTCCTCCCCCTTACTAGGTTCTCCAATCTCTTCTCCAAATTCCCACCCAGGATGCCACCAGCTTTTTTGTGGATCGCCTTCTTTTCGTTACATGTTGTACTCATTAATATTTTGGTTTTTGGCTTGAAGGTACTTGAACTCTTCAGTCCCAGACTATAGTGCATGCTTTCTTTTCTCAGTAACCCTTTGGACTTTGGCTTGATTTTCCTTTTCAAGTTCTTCTATTTTATCTTTTCTTTTCTCTTGTGTTTCTTTCTCCCAGATATAGAGTATTCCTTTATGACTAATAGAAATACAAGCAGAAAGTATAAGACTAAATAGTGGCTTATCAAAAGGGAGAACAAATTTGTAAGAGTTTGCACCACGTGGTCGAGTGATCTTCTGATGGCCCCATGTTCCTCCAACCTCGACCTAGGTCTTATCGGTAAATACAAAAGCATCTAATGTTTAAGCTAAAGCCTAATCTGCAAGCAGTACTCTGGCTTTCCAATCTCGGCGTCCTAACTTTGGCTTTTATTGAGGATCAAACCACCCAAAGTCATCATACTTCTTCATAATCTTATATATATACGATTGTAATATCAGGATATTGGCTTCTTTAGCTATTTCAGGATATGTCTTTTGCCAATGCTTAAGATCTGTAAGAGCGAGTTCTTTTAGCTTCTCTGACTCTTGAGAACCTTTAGGAATTTTCTGTAGAATAGAAGGCTCTTTTCTTTCCTTATCCTTGATGTTTTTCAAAATATTGAATAAAGTTTTTACTCCTTACATCCGATCTTATATGTTCATATTGTTAGCCTCAGCTTCTCTAGTATCTTCTCTAGAAATGAGTCCCAATATAGTTGCACCTCACTATTCCAAATGATCAAAATCCAAAGATTTTGTCCAATTGTACAATGAGCAATCTGGGACAACAAGTCAGACTTTGCTGTAGTAATCTCTTAAATTTACAGCATTTCATACTGGACAGCAAGGTATCCATATTATCAAGATTTGCGATATCAGAGTTTGACGATACTATTTACTTACCTTAGCTCAATAACACATTTTTCAAATCATTTCTATTGAAACAGTATACTCTAATGCCTGACCAATCTCATCATAGGTCAGGTTTATGCCTATTCTCATACCAAGAATTGTTCCTTGTAGCTGAAGAAATAGACTTTCTCTACAACTTGAAGGCATCATGTAAATAAAACAAAATGTTATACCAAAAGTTGAGTAAAAGAGGTTACAGTCATGTTGGCTATATCTAAGTATTCTTAGCTGATGTTGTCTGACTATAAGTTTCGACCTATTTAGTTATGTCACTTCTAGATCCTGGTTGTCACTGTCTACTGTAGCGAAATTGACCTTTAAATTGCCAAGAGTCTGGCTCACAGAGGCATTCTTGGCAAAGACGTATGAGTACAAGCCGTCAAAGATGGTACTCATACTTGTACACAGATGCTTTGCTGTCTGATGCACAAAAGATTTTATGATATTCTGGCGGTCACTCCACTAGTACAAGTGGATGGCGTTATGGAGTTATTCCTGTAATGCTATTGGTGCATTATGGTACTCAGGTCAGTAGTAAAGAATGTAGTCTACCACTATTGGAACATACGGTACCAGGGGGGCTGGAATGTCTATATTGGCTTGACTGAATCCAATTGGCATTATTTTCCCTGTTTTAAGTATCTGGGAGTCTCAACTCATACAAATGAAGGAATTTTTCACTGGCCCTTGTATCCCCCTGTTTATCCTAATGCTACAAGTACTGTACTTTATCCTTCTTCACCTAGGACCTGTACGAGTACCATACTATACAGAGGTACAGCACCTAAGTATTGTATATTTTGCTAGTATGGGGGTGCTCGGCTAGCAGGGGGATGAGGAGGAAATTGAGTATGGTGGCTTGCAGTTATTTTTGTGGCATATGGCTAGGAAGTCAGAAGCGATAGTTTGAAGAGAAACAATGTGAAAATGTATTTTAGATCAACAGGCCTGTATCTAATATTTTATGAAAAGCCCGTTGGAATCAATAACTGCTTGACATCGTGCAGGCATACTCTCCACCAACTCTTTAAACTCATGTGGGCAACATTTGCCCAAGCTTCCTTTACTGCCTCCCTTAATCTATTGTATGACATATTTTCTGGAAAATTATCTTGTAGATAATTTTTCATAATATACTATACCCGCTCAATTGGATTCAAGTCTGGTGGGAAAGCAGGCCAGTGAATAACCTCAATGCCTTTTTCTCTTAACTTAGTTCTTGTATCTCCTGCTGCATGCTCCGGTACCCTATCCTGCATCAGCTTTAAAGAAACACCATTCCAACGACACAATTTAAAATACCTATGAATAATAGGTACTGTATGTGCACAATAGCTCTCTGAATTTATTGAGCCCCAATCCTTCTCCCAAAAGATCCCAGGACCTTGATTATTCCTATTGAAACAGACCCAAAATATCCATCCTTGCTTTCTTTGATGCTTTTCTACTCTGCAGGTAGGATCCTACTCTTCACCAGTCCTTCTAGTAACCCAGGTTCGGGTATGCCTTCCACCAGTAATCTATGTTTCATCTGTCCATAAGATGGAGTACCACTGCTCCTGTGTCCAGTTCACATATGTCTGAGCCTACTCAAGCCTTATCAATCAATTTCATTCAGTGATCGGTGGTTTTCTCATTTTTAGCCACCGGTGAAAACCTTCTTTTATTAATGCTGCCTGAACAGCTTTTTTCCTGACTCCTAAATTTAGCTCTATTGTACACCAATCAGTTTTGAAACCTGCATTTAACTTCTAAGATTTCTTACCTTTAGCTAGTTGCTGGAATAAAAGCTGTCTATTTTGTGATGAGAGGTACATATACTCAATAAGGTCTTCGATTTGTGCTTAGGTCAGCACCAGAGAATGACCTGATTGCTTAGTTAGAGTCGCCGGAGCAGTACATGTGTACTGTATTTAGCACCATGAAAAACCCGTTTTCTCTTGAATTTGTTTGTACTTCCACCCAATGGACCGGAGAAGCTGACAATCTCAGTGCTGATCTCGTATCAAATCTGACTTCATTGCTTGAGACATCTTCATTGATTTGGATGTGAAGAAAATATTTACAAAAAATTTTCAACACCGCTTGAGCCCTCCCAAGCCACTATGCCTAATTCACCCCTCACCCCTTGCTGGCCAAGCACCCCCCTGCTAGCAAAATATACAATACTTAGGCGCTGTACCTCCGTAGTCACAGGGCCCCGGGAGCCACAACCCGCCATGCATTTGTAATATAATCACTCTTGAGCTACCTGTGTTACACAAATTCCTCAAGTGAAAGATATCATATACAAAAGCAAGTCCGGTACCGTACCGTATCTCTTCACCTCATTCGGGCACCAGTGGAAAAGGAAGAAAAATACCAAACGGTCGCACCTCGCCATGGCGAACGCCAAGAGTCCAGGATTCTTGGCTCGTTGTAGAGAGGTCCCGATGGAAACCCCCTGCAGCGAGACCAGTTTGTACAAGTATATTGTAGGAGCAGGGGGTAAACTTCCAAAGGAATCGTTGGTAATAGGGATACGCGAGATCCCCCGTCCAGGGAAATCCATTATAGCGAGGTGCGACTGTGTCAGACGTTTAATACTTGCACAGGACTGAGTTACCTGCGCACTCGCCATTCCACAGGCCCGAGGCCATCAAGGCTTTGGAACCACGGCACGCCGTTTCTCAGAGTTCGCCTCGCTACCGAGTGCGGCACTGTTCTGCTGTGCCGCCCCGTACTCGAGTACAGTACTCGTACAGCGATCATCCCTCCCAGAGGTAGTCTTTGATATTACGCCAAGCCGGTCCCTCTGGTTACAACGTTACACTGGCTAATGCGCTAACTTGGGCGAGATTAAATGTTGACTGTAGTGCAACCACAAACAAGCAACTCTAGCACGACAACCCCATGCGTTTAAACGCTCCAAAGTGTTCTCCAGGGGTCCTTTGTGCCCGCACATAGCGATTGGACGGGCTATCCCTTCAGGTAGTGTTACGCTCGTTGAAGTGTACCTGTACTGTAATAGCAGTACCGTACCAACGCAATATATTCCCACCCCAGGAATGGACACACCGATGAACTGTACCGCGTTGGGTGAATCGGCCGGTTGGCTCAGTGGGTCCTAGGAAAGTGCTAGGGGTAGCGTACCGTAGTTGGTTTGTCTAGGCAGCAGTTCTACTTGTACTCGAGTACTCGAGTACTGTAGGAGCAACATGGGACTGTTTTACAAGTACTGTACCGTATGATCTAAAATGCAAGCTATGACGTGATTGTAATCCTGCAGCGCCATCTGTTATCCGGGAAGGGAGGAGTGCAAATATTCCCAAGGATGGAGGATGGGCACCGGTATCGCGAGCTGTGAGTTCTATCATATTCTCCTCGCCAGTCGCCCACCAGTAGAGGGAGCTCCCCCCGACTCTCTATCCCGATGCGTGGTGAGAGGCTTTTAGCCTGGCAGTACCCGAGTACCGGTACTGCCCCCCCCCCCCCGTACCTTGTACCCCAATGGCGCAGCTACCGGTATCATACCGTACTCGTACTAGTACTGTTCACAAGGTTCACGCCAAAATGGGGCACAAAAATACGAGGTCGCTCTTGGCGTTCCAGCCATCCACCTGTAGGGTGGGGAGATACTTATACCGCTGTTTCTCCCTTCTGCGGGCCTTCGTTCTCATCCTTCCCCCCCCACCATAGTCCGTCCCCAATCAACCTCGATTGACTACCGCCAAATCAGATAAAGTAGGATGAAGGACCTAGCGCAGCTGTACCTCCTCGCAGCCCTCGCGGTTGTTCCATCGCTAGCGCAGGACATGAGCCCCTACCCCCAGTTCAGTCCCGAGTTCAAGCCTATGGGTAATCCCACGCCCGAATTCGAAAACCTCTACCCGGCAATTGTTCCTGGCGCCGCTGCATCCAGACTTGGAAAACGGCAAAACTCGTGCCCGACGTCCAACAGCTACTTCTGCCCGAGCACAGGAAGGTGCTGTCCTACCGGGTACACTTGCAACGGGGATACCACGAACGGGTGGTGCTGTCCAGTTGGCGGAGTTTGCGATGGGTCGCTTTCCTACTGTCCTTCCGGACAAACAGATTGTACCAGCATTATTGGTGTTAGCGGGTGCTGTCCCACGGCTACGCACGAGTGCTCAAAGGCCGGCGGAACCCCGGGGTGCCGGAGACTTGGCACTTCCGGTGGCTCATCTAGCTCCAGTACCAGCACTTGTGATGCTGGGAATTATCGGTGCACGGGCGGCGGCTGCTGTCCTAACGGGTGGACATGTGTCGCTGGCACGAGCACCTGCCGGAAGCCATGCGACGCGGACTGGACCCAATGTTCTCCTAGCGGGTGCTGCAAGCCGGGATACACTTGCTGCGCTTCTGGCGGGTGCTGTGAGTCGGGATACTCTTGTAATGACACCAGGGGGACGTGTCTGAAGAATACGGGGGGGAGCAAACCTAGCACAACACGGTCTTCAACGGAACCCACTACCACGAGCACAACAAAGCCCTCAACCGAACCCACCACCATCTCGAGCACATCACGCCTTTCAACGAGACCCACCACCATCTCTGACAATTCCCTCGTCAACCCCTTCACCTCAATATCAGTGAGACCGACTTCCACCGTCGCCGACACAGAACCCACATCGTTCCCCAAGCCTGAGAACGAAAATCCCTCGGGGAGCGCGGAGGCCGGGGAGTCGAGTCCTGTTCCCCTTACAACAGCGCCGCCAAACGGGGGCAATGCCATAAAGCCGGGAGGATGGTTAAGAGGATTCGGGATTGTCTTTTTCTTTGCCCTTTTTCGCCTGTAAACATTAGCAGCTTTCTTTCCTTCTCGATTGGGCAATGACGGTGGATGATACTATTAATGGCATTTAATATGATACGAGTGCGAGAATATCATGAATTTACTGCAAAGAATGTATAAAGCGTGCGGGCGGATCAAGCTAAACCTCGCCATCGTTGGCACTGTCGAACCCGAGAGCTGTATCCCAGTGTCCCTACACAAAAGCGGATCGAATGGATTGATGCTCGCAGAGTCTGTCTGCTAGCTTGGTAGGGTTGGGCAAATAGGTTAGCGGTAGACTATGGTCCTGGGCACTCGAAATCAACACCCTGTGTATCCTATGATAACCCATCATGCTTATATAATACAAACAAAATATCGGTTGAGGCTTGCCTAGTGTTACCATAAGCCCCAAGCCACTATGGTGGGCCTAAATCTCGGTCCAATAGAATCGTTACCCCCGTAAACTTGAGCCCGGAAAGGCTGTCGTGGTGTATGGTTGAGGTCGGAAAGCCGGACGCAACGATTACGGGTATCCTGCTTTATCCCCCGTTTCTACGGGCACTCGAGTCGATCCGTGCCGAGATATCCTCACAAAAGGGTTTCTTTCGATCCAAGGTTGCGGGACTCGCGCGTCGTGTAACCTAGCCCCATCCAGAATCCCAGAGCCTTCATCCGCGCGGCTCCCAGTTCGACCCCACCAAAGGGTAGCAACCCTCACCCTCCTCCTCCCCTTTCACCCTCTCCACGCCTCCTCCACCAAAACTTCTCCGTTTGTCCATCCCCCATTCAATCTCTGACTTCACCCCCCTCCTCCTCTCACCCACCCCTCTCCATCGAACTTCCCCCACTCCACAATCGCTCGCCCACCTCCCCGCTGTTCCGCAAAATGCCGAAGCCAAACTATCAGAAGGTCAACCGCAACTTTGTTAACCAGCGGGGAGCTTCTTCCGGAGCCAACAAGTACGTCTCTGCTGTTTTTGCACTGGTTCATCTAATTCTGGGCCCCATCTCCAGCTTCTCCCCGCTGTCGATTCGCTCTGCGAGATCTGATGCTGACGAATCTCACGCAGGGTCCCCTCCAGCCTCACTTGCAATGTTTGTCGCGGCAGGAAACATCAGAGCCAATTCGCAGGTCGCCAATTAAGCAAATTTAACGGTTATAACAAAGCTTGTCAGTTTTCTCCCCCTTCCTCAAAGGCGGTGTCGAGGTCGCCTTGTTTCCTCATCCAATTAACTCCTTAGAAAACTAGTTATTCGTGACCCCAACAGCGTCAAAGTTACATGCAAGGATTGTACCGCTCGACAAACCACCGACCTCACCTGCTGTGTTTGTTCCTCCACCAAGCCTTTGACCGGTTTTGCGAAGAGTCAGAGGAAAAACCCGGACAACGCAAGGTGCATGGATTGCGTCAACAAGGATCTCGAAACCGAGCCAAATATTGCACCCAGCTCTGATGAGTCGGACTCCCCTTGCTTCAGTGAGCCCGACTCGGACTTTGACGTAAAGCGGGACCCCTTCCCCGTGATTAACCCGTTACTAACAGAGCAAAGGATTGGGAAACTCCGACACCGCCCACCAAATTCACCTCCAAGAAGCAAAGCCCTCCTGTCGCAAAACCCGCCGCGAATGAGAAATCTCACCCCTCCCTCGACGACGATTTCGCAGCTTTGGCCGTCGCAGACAAGAAGGAGAACGAGAACCAGTGGCGGGTAGCGGGGAATTCCAAGATTTCCAATCCCAGCAGGAGCTCTGACTCTTCCGCTTCCACTGCGCGCCTGGGGAAATCTGGCTGGGCCAAAGCCCCCAAAATCCCGAAGGCCAAGGCTACTAGATGGGGTGAGGATGCTGAGGAGACCAACATCCTAGACTACTCCACTACCACCCAAAGCACGACTAAAGGGTCCTTCAATAATAGGCTGATTGAACTCGACGATTAAGTCTTGGCCCTGGAAACGGCCAGCGATTCTTGTCGTAATTTCTTATCCATTCTTCTTCTTTTGCTTTTTCTCTACCCCCATTTTTCAATCCTGAATCCTGTCTTGTATCTCATGTATAGGGCCCAAATGTCCCACCTTCAATACCATTGGAGTCATCCGCTTAGCTATTACTTAGTGTACCGATTTATGTTGTCATTGCACTTACGGTTGCGGTGAAGGGCCGATGTGTTTCATGAGTTGGCCGAGAATCCGAGAGACGGTAGTTGCGAGGAAATCCTCAAATATGGTGGAGAGTTACCTCCTATCGCTTTGTACAGTACAGGTACTTGTTGTTTTTTTTGACGGAACCAGCCAAACATTTGCAGGGACTAATGTGCCAACTAGCGACCTTGGAAAAACTCTACAGCTTATCCAAAATGTGATGGTGACAATTATGATGCCACCGCTACTGGAACCACACTGTACTTGAGTACTGTACAGAACCCATGCACTCACGGTGGCTATACTCATAAAATATCACTCGGATGTAGCAGGTCGTGAAAGGCCAAACCTTCTGGAAATTGGTGCACCGGGAATTCACCCCATTTCACTATCGCCCCATCCGCGCAGAAGCGCACCCAGCGTTCCAGAAGCAGCGAGGCGCAGGGGAAAAACCAAACGCAGTCATAAAATATCACCCACACTCGCCCCACCCCCATTAGCAGGGGAAGCACCCGGCCTACCCACAAACGAAAACCCCCTGGGGACCGCTAGCGTTGACCCCCCTCCCCCGGAGTTTTCTTTTTCTTTTTTCTTTTCTTTTCTTCTGTGGGTGACCGAGTGCCCATGAATGGGTGGGATCTCGTTCGAGTCATGGGTAGTGTTCCAAATATTAAGTGTGCTAAAGCAGATCTCCAAAATTCTCCTGCGAACATATCGGTTTTCCGCTCAGCCAGCCCCCTTAGCTTTGTGTGAATCAGTTGGGAGTTGTGTGTTTATGGAGAATTTGATCGACCTCCTACATTGCCATCTAATGAACCTATTCCCCCGGTCCTCAACCTCTCAAGAGTCCAGAAAAATCTAGGAGTAAAGTGGGATCCGTACCAGGCTCCCCACTCCGAGCCAGGCGACCAAAGGTCGTGAGTAAAACGGCCTCCCCGGCATGGGAAAATTCGGAGCCATCAAACCCCCTTCTCCGTTGCCCGCTAATTACTCGCAGTATCATACCTCCATCACATATCCAAGGCATCGTAATCTTTGGAATACCAGTATTTTTCTCCCCTCTCTTCCTTACCGATTCGAAGGGAAGAAGAATGAAATCATTTGAGAGTGCTGGAGCCGATCTTTAGAAGGGCTCGGAGGAACACTACCGGTAGTCGTGGGCTTTCCACTTTTCACGTTTTGGGTGATTTATAAATATATATATATATATATTCCTGGTGTTTTGGTCTCGGTGGGTGGGGGGTTTAGCTGCCGGGATTATATGCAATGTATCATACCAGTACGATACCGATGGGATGGTGATAAGTTTTGCATGATGTCGGACACAACATAGGAATGAACCATCAGAAATTGATATGGTAGAGATGGTTATTAAGCCGTAGCGGTAACATACTTTTTTTTTACTGCATTCTACAGCACAGCACAGCACGGGGTTAGGTTTGTTTGTTTGTTTGTTTGTTTGTTTGACGGGTGGGAACATCCTTCCTCCCATCATTCTATCATACGATATCATACCGTGATAATGGAGAGAGTGGTATTCGAGTGTGTACGGTGTATCACGTTCGGGCACTCGTGCCCCACCCTACAGCGTTTTTCCACAAATTGTGATGATATGGTAATAATAATAATCATGATAGTATAATAATACCACGCGACCAAACAACAAACGAACAAGCAAACAAACAAACAAACACTACATTCGTGATATAGCAACAACAGAACCTCCCAAATCACCGTTTTTTCTTTTTCTTTTCCTCTCTTCTTTTTGTTTGACGGGTGCTTTCTCAAATCGTACGGGATAACGGCGACTGTGGGGTACTAGTACTGTACCACGCTAGATTCGTATCCTGTAAGCTTTCTTTTCCAACAAAGTTATCGTGTCATATCATATACTCGTATGGTACTGTCGCATGAAAAGTAGAATATGGGTGGACTCACTCACAAAAAAAGCATACATCCATCCAGTATTATTATTATTATTATTATTATTATTATTATTATATACCCACCTTTACAAACAAAACAAAACAAACGGGACGGGATGGTGATAAAAAGGTACCGTAGGGTGAAGAACTGGACGGGTTATCATATAAACGAAGCAAGTTGTGTCGTACTCGAGTACAAGTAAGCACGGCTCGCGGGCTGATGGGGATGGAATGAGTGTGGTAGCATATAACGGGCGGGAGGAGGGTTTCTGTTTGGAGCTACGGTTGCTCCAAGATGTTGTACTCGTACAGTATCGGTATCTTGACTTCAGATTGAAGGTGGTCATGGGAGATCACTCGGGTTTTGGTTTCGGCGTGGAGTTTATAATAATGATCATTATTATTATATTAGTGTCATAGCGGACCGCTCATTGTGATGTCTGAATTTTTGTCGTGGTACTTCTTTTTTCATTTCCTTGACCTTCGCTCCCTTCCCTGTTGCGAAGTGTGAGGAAGGTTTCCAGCACGGCAGGGTGCGACAGGAAGCAAGTTGATGAGGATGAACCGAGTGAGGGCATGTGAAAATAGCCTCTGTGCCGTAATGTCATGTCATATCGTACCGTTGTGTGGTGTGGTAAAGTATAGCATGATTGATAAATAGCGGTGCCTTACTGTGGTGGTAGTGGTTTGTTCCAGCACCGCCCCCCCTGCCGTGCTGATATCTGACACTGCATGGGTGGGAAAATGTTTATTTGTCTGGCCCGACGTTTCTGTGATTTCTTTTTTTCATCACCACGAAACACGTCCTCTTCCTCTGATATCGCATCGTATCGTATCGTCCGGTATCGGTATGTGCCGGCTCCAACCGCCCGGCCGGATCATAACCATCCCGAGGTTGGGGATTTGTTTTTGTTTTTTGTTCTCCGAAACTCTTGCGTGCCCTCGTATTTGTAGCGGGCGCGGGGAGGTCGTGATGATACCCGAGGGCAGGGGTGAATGCTTCGTATTTTGTATGGACACTCGGATGCCGGTACGCACGGATTTTATTTTGCCCTATATTGTGTGATATACCGGTGATGGTTGGAAGTCGTACCGGTATGAAAATTTTTGTATTTGTATTTCGCTGAGGGAGTTAGCGTATGGCATGTTTTCTTTTGGGATGGATAGCGGGGGGGTGGGAGGGGGATTCCCCCCTCTCACCGAGCGAATAAACTACGAGTAAGGTACGGTGCTGTGCTCGAGCATCCAGAATAATAGTGAATCAGTGAATCGTATCGAACATCCCGGCCCTCTGTTTCGCCCCCTCCATTCACGCGTTCGTTTGGTCAATCCGGGCCCCTGGAACTGGAAATGAATGGGGGGAGGGTGAGGGGCGAGAGAGGAAGGACTGGAAGGGAAGGAAGGTTCTGTGGCGAATCTCGGATGGAGGTGCGGTGGGGCATGAATGAGTGAAGGAAGGGAGGGGCCAGTGCGGTATTGATATTGGTGAAAGGAAGCGGTGGAGTGTTTGGATTGGATTTTCACCTCCCGGTATGATACGAGTCCTGGGCCATAGTATCTCGCTCAATTCAGACACAGTGCTGTGCTCGTACTAGTAATTTAATTACCGTAGTGCTGGATGAGCATTTCTCGCTTCTGTTCACCATCAACTTCATCTTGTCCGTTCCGTTCCTTCCGTCCTTCCTCCCTCCCTCCCACAGTGGCAGCCAGCCCGGCAAGGAAGCCCCTACCTCCAAAAAACCGTGCACCGTTTCACCCGTTCATACTTGTACCTGTAAAGCCCACACACAACCACACCAATCAATCGTGAACCGAGTTTTTGGTACTCGGTTGGAATTGGAGGAGGAGGACCCCCGAGGTCTGCGCTTTGATTTTACGTTTTTCTATTTGACGTGCGGAGTGGGGTGGTGGATCTTTGGTCTGGCCCGATGGCGTTGGAGATAGAGTGCCGGTAAGGTACATGTAGTACAGTACTAGTACTGTACGAGTAGAGGTGCCATACCCTAGGGCACGCACCGGAGTATGATACTGTTGCCAGCCAAGCAGTTACGAGGAGATGGCCCCCGGTTAATTACGGTACAAGACTCGAAAACCGAGCTGGCATCCGGACTCGCGCTGTCGGGTTTCGGTCTTGGTGGGTCTGTGCGACGGTCACGGTCTCACGTGTGTGGTTGTCTGCTCGAGTGCCTAGCCTTTGCCAAGCTGTGAAAGTGCCGCATTGCAGGAAGTGAGCAAGGTTTTTTTTTCTTTGGGGGGGGGGGAGGAGTTCTCGACTTTCTACCTTTTCGACTCAGGATACAAGTAAGACACCGGCAGAGAGATGTTGGGGTGCATATAGCACAGCTGACTTGTATGTGCGTACTGTACTCGCGCATTATCTAAATTATCATCTGTATGGATTTCGGTGGAAGTGCGTATTAGGATAATATGGTGCATGGGGTGGTGGCACTAGGATACCGTACTTGTTGTGCTTTGCATGTATGGATTTACAGCAATAGTCTACCGGTACTGAGGATATTTCTTGTCGAAGGCCAGCTGGAGGGGGGGGTAAAAAATAAAAAAAGGAAGAAAGAGAGAAAGAGGGGGGGGGGGGAATTGAGAAATACTAGGAGATAGCGGCGGGGCTTGCATGCTTCATCCTGCCCATGGCCTTTCTGATGCACTCGAACAGTGCTAATACATGATACGGCACTTCTCCATTTAAGGCCTGATATGGAGGATGTCTTTTGTCGGTGAGAGCGGGGACTTTACAAGTACTAGTACTGTACTCTTACAGTGCTTTTTACCCGTGTCGCACCGGGGGAGGCCTTGGAACAGTTATTCGAGATTACCGGGACCAGCAGAATATATTCCTCCACCCAGGTCAGGCCTTTCTTGCTCTTGTACTTGTATATAGAAACATGGGAGCGTGGGGGGGCGGCACATAAGCAGCAGCTACAAGTATGATACCGTGGGATCTCGAAAAATTGAATAGTTTTCCAGGTACTGTAGTCTAGAATTCCCTTCTGAGGAAGAAGGGGCATAAAAGAGCGGGGAGAAGTGGTGTGGACCAGAAGTACATACCATGCTAGGGAGATGATTTGCTGCGGGACTGGGATTGTTTGGAAGGTTAATCTAATCAGCTGTTCACAGACTTTCTACGGAATCGAGTACGGTAGTCGGGCAATGGGACACGGTCCAATTGATTGAGATTCTACTGTACAGTACCGGTACCGTACCGGTACTAGCACAGTGGCGCCTCGCTATCCTGGACGACTAAGCTCCGAAGAATTTC